GGAAGGAAGGAAGGAAGGAAGGAAGGAAGGAAGGAAGGAAGGAAGGAAGGAAGGAGGTGAATTGAAGTTTACGTCTTAATATGTGAGGCAGCGTGGTGGAATCAGGCTCTCGTCAAATTTTGGGTATATTGAGTTATTGGTATCATCTTAAAGCTTGTTCATTTGTCTTGCTTTCAGTGAAAACATGACCCATCCATCTTCAATAGAAGTGGAGATTTTTGGATTGAAGGAGGTGGGGGTCACCTGATTTAAGAGGTAAAATTAGCGAGAAAATGGCCGCCAAAGCTTGGTATATTCCAAAGCTAGAGAGTCCATAAAAACTGTCAATTTATATTTTTGTGCCTTTAATCAACGTTTTCGGTGAAATCCTCAAAGGAATGTGTCGTAAATGGACATAAAAGGTGTTGAGCCAAAAAACAAAAATTTGATAAAAATTGCTATGCAAGGAGAAAACTGCTCTTTTCTTTGATTTCATTATTTTGACGACAGCCTCACATTATGTTGATCTGAGAAAGAGACGGCGAAAATTGATACGTATAACGACTCTTTTAGCACTTATGGAACGGTCCAGGGTGCAATGATGTTGTTGCCCAGGACAGGTAATACAGGTAATATAGCGACTCTGGAAGGAAGGGAAGAGGCAAGGATAGCCTAAGAAACAAACTCTCACCCATTGTATCACTTTCCTTGAGAAATGCACACAAATTTACCCTACTTTACCTGCACATTCACAAAAGTTTCCCCCCAGTTTACCTGCAACTTCTACATCATTATATCCTATTTTACTTACAAGAATTCTCAACAAATTTGTCTCACTTTACCAGCCTTCTTCAAAACAATTTGCCTCCATTCACCAACAATTTAAACAAGATTTTATCCCAACTTTACTTACATCCTCTACAATTATTTACCTAGCTCAGTTAGCCTACAACTTCCACAATAATTTACCCCAGTTTACCAACACCTCCCTCGCAAATTTACCTCGGTGTGTATCCAACTACTACAACAATCCACCACAATTTACGGGCATCATTTACAAGAATTTACCCAATTTTACATATCACAACTTCCACTACAATTCATTCCAGTATACTTACAACCCCTACAACAATTTATCTGCTCATTCGAAAGTTACCACACTTTACGTGCAACCGCCGCAACAATTTACTCCAGTTTACATCCAATTTCTACCACGAGTTTCCCCCAGTTTTCTTGCAAGTCACAACAATTTACCTTCAAACCCTACAACAAGTTACTACAGTTTGCCCACAATTTTCACTCCAGTTTACCACCAGTTTGCCCACACCTCCCACACAAATTTACACCAATTATTTACCTCTTCCCACACACCCCACACAAGTTTAACCCCCTCCCCCGCTCCCCACCCACACACACAGGTTCAACTCCCCTCCCTTCCTCCCAGTTTACCTGTGATGTCCAGGCCGGCCCATGAAATGTTCCCAACAGCACGGCCGTGGGGATCATGGTGTAGAAGGACGGGTAGAAGTTGGCCAGGATGTAGATGCAGTGCGCTGAGAACGAGGCCACGAGGACGGCCTTAGCGCCCACTATGCCGATCAGGGTGGGCGCCAGCACACTAGAGATGACAGCTGTACCGTAGATGGCGGAGAGACAGAGCATACCCAGGCTTTCTTCATCGTGAAGCGAGCTGTGGAGGTTCTGGGAGGGGGAAAGGGGGGAGTGGTGAGGGTTTTATGTTTGATAATGTAGACAGACACACATACAGACAAACAGACACACAAACACATGCTGGAGATGACAGCTGTGCCGTAAATGGCCGAGAGGCAGACCATACCCAGGCTTTCTTCATTGTGGAGCGAGCTGCAGAGGTTTTGGGAAGTGGAAAGAGTTGATGATGAGGATTTTGCTTTTGATAATGTATACTGAAAGACAGACAGGCAGGCAGACAGACAAACACATTCAGGCTAGAGATGACAGGGGTGAGGGGGGAGGGCGTAGATGGCGGAGAGACAGACCATACCAGGCTTTCTTCATTGTGAAGATAGCTGCGGAGGTTCTGGGAGGGGAAAAGAGTAGGTGGTGAGGGTTTTGTGTTTGATCATGTATACAGGAAGACACACAGACAGGCAGATAGACACACAAACAAATAATCACACCCTCTGATTAGAGATGACAGCTGTACCCTTAGATGGCCAACAGACAGACCAGACCAAGACTTTATTCATCATGAACCAACCTGTGGAGGTTGTGGGAGTGGTACAGTTTCGCGTTTGATAATGTTCTCACACACACAAACACACACACATCGACACACACACACACACACACACACACACACACACACACACACACACACACACCGACACACACACACACACACACACACACAAACACACACACACACACTCACAACAAAACAAGCAAACAAATAAATTAAAAAAGCAAAAAAAAACACACACGGCTAGAGATGACAGCGAAGAGACAGACCAGAACATAATACGAATACGTAATGTGAGGCATCGTGGTGAAATCAGGCGCTCGTCAAAATAATGAAATGAAAGAATTCGGCATGTTTTGGCCGATGGACAATTTTTTTCAAATTTACATTTCTTTGGCTCAACACCTTTTAGGTTCATTAAAAAATACTTTTTAGTGTGGATTTTACTGAAACACACTGACTCTCAGACTGGGAAAGTCACCAAACTTTGGTTGCCATTTTCTTACTAATTTTACCTCTGAAACCAGGCAACTCTGACCTTCAATGACAAATATCTCGAGTTCTTTTCAAGATAGAAGGGTATGTATTTTTTCACCAAAAGGAACAGGCTTTAAGATGATACCAATAAGCCAATATGCCCAAAATTGACGAGAGCCTGATTCCACCACGTCGTGGCTCATATTTTTTTCTGAGCAATTGAACCTTGAAATATTACGTCGTTTACCTTTCCTACATGGAAAACTAAAAAAAAATCAACATGATAAAGCGCAACGATCGTAAAGTTTGCTTTATAAAAAAGAAAATCACCGGCAGAAGTGTCAGGAACAATGGCCTGAGATTAGCGC